TTAAGGTCCTTTCTGACCCTAACCATTCTATAATTCTATGAAGTCCCTGACCACCATGTCTACACATCCTTGAAATATGTCCAGAGATGGCTACTCCACCACTTCCCCGGGCAGCCTGTTCCATAGCTTGACAACCCTTTAGGTGAAGAAATTTTTCCCAGTATCTAAACTCCCCCTGGTGCAAGTGCCTTAAGTTAAATGACTGAATTACCAAATACTTTAGTTTGGAAGGGCATCTAGTCCAACCTTACACTCAAAGCAGGTCTTACTTCAAAGACAAATTAGGTTGCTTAGGGCCTTGCCCAGTCAAATTTTGAGTACCTCCAGGGACAGCGATAGCACAATATGTGGGTAATCAGTTCTACTGCCTGACCATTCTCACCGTGAAAAATTTTTCCTTCTTGAATCAGAATCTTACATCCTATAAAATCATGGCTGTTGCCTCATATTCTGCTCTGAAAAGAGTTTAACTCAGTCTTCTCTATAACCATCCACTGGTAGCTGAAGACAGCAGCTGGATCCACCCTGCTTAGTCTTGTCTCCTCCAGGCTAAACGAAAGTACTGTTTGAGTCCCTCCTTTACACACCATGTGTTTTGTTCCTCTATTCATCTCAGTGGCCCTTTCCTGAATTCAATCCAGTTTGTCAATGCCTGTGTCTCATACTGACGGAAATGGCACACACCCAAAACTGGGCACAGTGAGTTTCTTTTATTCTGTAAGCTTGTGTACGGATTGAACATTAAAAAGACATAACATAACTTGGAAACATTTTCTTCCTGTTGTTATGAGAACAATACTCAAGCCCCACAAAACACAAACCGGATGGTGAAGCAATGCAAAGGAAACTGCTGGATTATTCACACTTTGACAAATACACAGAATGAAATAACTCTACAGTGACTGCTGCAGCAAATACATACTTTGAAGAGAAGCCACGCTGACGGCTACTTGAGAAAACTCTGTTTGCAATAGGTTCTCGAATACTGAAAAACATCTTTGGTTCTTCTGGACTGTAGAGCAGGGACTCATTGTAATCATTTGTTACTGTAAATAGAAATCAGCCATTAGTTTTTCCAGAGACAGTTATTCTCTGAAACACACATTCTTCCAGTAATGAGCAAGCTTCCCTGCCGAGAGGGAATACCAAATCTTGCCAGATGATTAATAGCCTTCACCTGCAAAAAAAAATTAATTTTACAGACAATTTCTTTCAGTTCTACTGCATGATGAATACTCAAGACTTCTCTTCAGGTGACTAAATATTGAGCATCTCAAATCTTAGAAGAAGTGAAATTCTCCTGAAGATGTATACATATGAAAGTCTAAGTAAGCACTTTGATATCAAGTCAGACATTTTTCACCAAATGTGCCTAAACAATGTTTGTAAGAAAGACTAATATTACAAGAGCACTAAAATACTGAAAGCAGTGCTGAGTATTAAAAAATACAAACAAAACAAACTGGTCAAAGTTAAGGTACCTTAAAGAGATTTTAGCTTTTTCACTAACCTTTTTGTACTAGTTCCATGTTCAATGGCATATTCAAGCTTCCATGCTTTTTAGCTGTTGAGTCAAGAAAAAAGCCCCAGTTAGATAGGCGTTATCTTTATATAAACTTGGCCAGTAATGCCACACTGTTCACTCACCAATCTTAAGGATCTCTTCAACAGTTTGATGTGCTACCTTGTTGATATTATAGGACCTAGACAGAGAAGTAGAAGTTTTGTTTGCTAAACTATACAAATTGGGAGAAAAACAAAACAAAAACAGAACAAAAAATCTTGCATATAGATGAAGAACTATGTTCAGCACCAGGAAGAAAAAAAAATGAATGCTATCAAGTGTGAGTGAGCTGGCATCAGTTTCTTAAAAAAAAAGCCTTAAATCAACTCTTGGTCTGACATCTACCTGTAGTTTTTTAGACCTTAATAATCCAAGTGAGGTCTTCAGGAAAGAAGAGGATGTGGTCTCCTTATCAATAATCCTCCAGCCTCAAAACCCCTAAATTACTGATTTAAGTCTGCATTAAAAAAAAGTGAAGCAAGACAGTTCTATAGATGTTTGTGTTCTTATGTCTTTTACACACTTCTTGCTAGTTAATTCGCTCTGTTAGTTCTCATTTATGGGACCCAACACTTCTTTACAAATATTATGCCTCTCTGTACCCTAACGCATGGGCTTGAATCTCACAAAAATCGATGTACACAGAAAAGGAACAGTCAGATCGGATACTTTTGCATTTGCCACGTTTGGATGCACAACAAATCAGCATAAAGCCTCAGTCTGAACCAAGTCTAAACTCCAATAAAAGTCTCGCTCTTGTGTCCAGGCTCAAAAGGGATTAGGTACTGATCACAGTCTCTGTGCAGCAGTACTGTGAACTTGTCAGTTGCCCTGGTCTCAATACAGCTTAAAATCCTCAGCCCTGCAGTTCTGTCATGGCAGTAAAACACCTCAAACTGCAACAGACATCCACTATACATCAAACAGACTACAGAGCTGCTGAGGGTGGTTGTCAAGGGTCTTTCTCTTACACTTACTGCCTGCCTGCAAGCCTGAGCAGATGCTAGCAATAAACTGAGATGCAGAGCTTATCTCTCAACTAGATATCCTTTTATACAAGTTTTGGCAGCTGAAGGAAACACTTGGACATTCAAATGCCTCTCAGTCCAAGTAGGTCTGAAATCCCAGGAGTCCCTAAACCACAGGCTAAGGAAGATCACTTCACTGAGGTTTGGCCTCAGTTTAGAGAAGTCCAGCAGTACACAATGATTACAGCAATGGATGGAGATGGGCAATCCTGGAGTCTGTTTTTTGGTTCTGGAATTGCTCAGTACAGAGCATATAAGCAAATGAAATGCGTAAGCACAGCTTTGAACTAAGACAGTACATTCCCAAGGTATTGAACACTAGGAAAGTTCCCCTAGCAGTCTGCCAATTTCATCCTTGGCAGCCTCCAGGACTAAGCTATGCTGACTGAATACAAAATTCTGAATTACAATGAAGAGTAAAACCCAGTAACCATGGTTACAGCATGAATATTCACTTCTGAATGTCATTAAAAGCTTCATTTTTAGTTCATCTTAGCCTGCCACATAAATCCAGGGCCTGTTGTACAACTTTAAACTATAAGCACAACCAGATTTCCAAGTGAAAGAGGTTCTCACTGTACACGATCTCTCACATTTCAAAACTAAAATGATTAGACTTACATGCAGTACTGCAGCTTGTTTAAACTGAAGTTAAGACAATTTACCCCTTTGACTGAGCTAGTGCAGCACTGCTTAGATATGACCATCTTTGTTTAAGGGGAATATTTTGGCAAAGAGACTGTGCCCTTTCAATTAAGTCTGGAAGAGGCAAGAGGCTTGGAAAGGGAATGGACAGTAGATGTGCCAGAGAACATTTAACACTGTTTCCAAGTACATGTTTTCCCATTCTTCTTAGACCTCAGTTTTTACAAGTTTTCTGAGCTACTTCATCTAAGCATTTTAATTTTAGCCAAAAAGAGTAGTTCAGAGATCCCCCAATATGCTCTGCAAGTCAAAGCAAAATTTCTTTCCCCCACCACACCCAACCATTCATCTCCACGCACAGTATGCAGCCTCTTTCACCAAATTTACACCTAAAGTAAACATCTGTCTCAGTGCCTCAGCCCCTCACCCCTTCAACTATTCTCTCCATTCCTGTAAGTGAGGGGTGCTCTGCTCTTCTCAGATACCTCAGACAGCTTTGAACTATACTGACAGCAGGAGTATTTGGACATAACTGACATGCACTGACTTACCCATAGCCCAAGAGACTCAAAACGTTTAAGCAAAATAGGTCCATCTAGCTTATCTGAAGCAGTATATTTTATCAAAGCAGCAACATGTACTTACCATGCTTTTGATCCCGTTCCAGTACACACATTAAGCCCTGAACTCTTCTGTTTTTCCCAAGGACCATCATCAACTGATATCTCATAATAGGAGGCCCTATGAAGCGAGAATTTAAAACTGGGTTTGCAGGACTTAAAGTTCTCCCTGAATAAGACAGAACACATAGCCTTATCAGGCACATAAAAATTTAGAGAGGCTAGTTTCAAATCTGGATTAAACTTGACAGGCTTTCCAGTGTTTCCAATTTGACAGCCACTTTTGATTCATCATTTTATAGCAGTTTTCATAATGGACAAAAGTGATTTGCAGCATGAACTTTTGGCAGTTTTTCTCCAGCCACTTTTCATATTAAATTATACACAAAGAACTCTGAGGTTCATCTGGGAATAGTTTTGTATAAAAGCAGAGTTTGCTGGACTTATAAATGAAACTACAAACACATTACCTTCCTTGCATAATTGTTGAACTACTGAAAAACTGTTTAAGCTGTGATTTGGTCTCATAAAATTACATCAGGGAACACTAAGAGATAAGGCACTGCAACATCAGTAATAGCATGGCTTCAAGCTGAATTCTTGATCACTTCAGTAATTAAAAATCCACTGTGATTCTTCACAAACAGTTTTAATTTTACAACAGTCGGCAGGCTTACATTTCTCTTCAGGGCAAATTCTTCCTAAAACTCAAATACAGAAAGTCTTGGGGCAACAATCATCACTCTTCATGGTATTATTCATATATCAGGGGACTCCTAACGTTAGGCCTAGAGAGACCAGTCTCTCTCTATAAGCTTCAGAACATCATGGGGTGTATTTATGAACTCAAGTTGTTGATGTCAATAGAGCCTAATTCAAACAGTATCATACAGTCTTCAGATTAATAGACATCCTCTTTGAAAAAAATCACATTCACTGTGTTCAGCATGACTGAGTTTCACTTTTCTTAGTAAAAGGAGCTTACTGAGCTGTTTTAGGTGATGAATGTTTCAGTCTGGATCAACTAGGAACAAACCTCTTCAACATCTGGTGTCAGTTTAAACTCTTAGCAACTAAGAACACTTTATGCACTCACTCTTGAGAAGATGGGAAGATGAAAGAACTGGAAGCAAATTAAGAACACAGGTGCACAGCTTCATTCAGTTTAAGATAATTTCTGCAAGTTGGGTATGAAACGTTTTTTCTTTTTCCTTCATTTCCTTGTTTTCTTAACTGACATGCAGAATAAGACTTTGGGAGAAGCACCTAAAGTCATTTTGTCTTAATATACAGAACACTCACGTATTTGAACCTTACAGAAGATTCATTTGTGTGACAATATTTAAATCTTCAAGTGTTCTAGTAACACAGTATTTATTACTAGCGATTTGTTCCTATAGGCATTGCGTTCCTTAATGCTTCTCAAATACACTGGAACCAAAGAGCACAATGTATTTGTGACACCCAGAAGTAGAGGGGTATTATAAAGTATTGGAAAGCAGTTCTGTGTTCCTCTGTCACTGTATGTTAAAGAAACCATTCAGAATCTTGATAAAATTAGGTTTGATTTAGTAGAGAGCAAAATTTGTATGTCTCTGAGGCTAATTACTTCTGCCAGTCTGAGGCTCCAGTCCAGATGGAAGATAAAGCACTCATGGAACATTTATACCGTTTCCAGCAGCAATCACAGTGTCCAAGGCACTGTACAAACACAAGAAGATGTTACACTCTAAAGTTCTGTTTTTAAAAAAGATACAGAATAAAGGGAAAAGGGATATAAAATACAAGTAAAAGTTTGGCCAAATTCTGACCAAGGATCATGTTTTAACTCCTTTCCCGCAGCCCCAGTCACATTCCCCACATTCTTGTTATGTTTCGCTGGCAGAAAAGCATTTATCTTCAGGACAGAAAGGACACTCAAATCCTGGATAATGCAGTACCAGGATTTGATATAAACTCAATTCTTAAAACAAGGAAGTGTTTTCCCACAATAACAAAGCTTCTTCCAAAGGCAGGCTAATATCTTTGCCTCTAATGACAGAGATAGGGAAAGGAATACTTACACTAAGTTATTTCTGCTTCATTGTGCTAAAAGCTTATGAAAAGATATTTAATAAGAGACACAGGAGAAGAGGAAGTTTAAGGACAGATATCTACATCTTCAATCCACTCTAAATACACTAACTGAAGGCATTTGGTTACACACAAGAACTAACCAGGAAAGGAGTAAAATAATGAAGAGGAAGGAAAACAGTCAGCAATAATGAAGGATGAAAGAGTGGCCAGACAGGAAGGTGGAAACCCAGAAATTAACATCACTGCATTTGTATCTCTGAAAATACACTTTGTAAGCAGCAACGATACAATTAGTGTCATGTATTCATGGACTAGAACTGAAATTTGACAGCAAAGACATCTCATCACTGATTGCCCATTGCAATGTCATAAAAAGAAATTAAATTAATTGTGCCTTGCTGTAACAACAAACAATTAAGCATACCTGGATGAAAGAGATTCCCCAATGAAGACTTCATTGAGTGCTCTTACTGGTAGAAGATGCGGACCAGAAATGTCAGATCCTGCAGATATTGAATGTAACAGTTTAGAATCTTGGCTCCAAACACAAAATTTTCAAAAACAATTCACAGCTCATTGGAGGACACACTCTACTGCCTGGATTTGTATTCTAGAACTAGTGCTCCATTTTCTTTACAGACTAAATTTTTCACTGATTTAGTCTGTAGTCAGTCACTGTTCTTTACTGGAGACTACAAATTTTGAACCAAGGTCAATAAGACAATGACACTATGTTCAGTCGTTGCTTTCCCTGAAAACTCATAGGCAACCAGACAGATTGAAGTCTTATCTTCTGTCAGTTACTCTTCCAGCCTAGTTAAATTTATTGACTTAACAGACAGTTCTGATGAAGTGCAAAGAATTAGACTTTATAGCACAGGGTAATTAAGGGGGATTAACAAATTGTTCATGTTGACTAAGGACTTCTCAGTGAGGAAATGCAGTGCTAGACACAGGTTAAGCACAGAATCATTCATCTTCAATCCATCATAAAGAAAACAGTTGAAGGTTTCTGATGACCAAAGAATTGCCCAGGGAAAGATTCTCATTTACTTGCTGGCAGTCTGTGACCAGTTTTTTCAATTGTGAAGCAACCTACCTCAAACTTAGCACAAATTAAGAGCACGTGTGCACACACACACACACACACAAATACTTTTAGTGTGGAGCAACTAAACAGATGGTAAAATGTTCATGTGTAGACCTCAAGTGTCTACAGTAAGCCTAAGAGACAGCATTTTTAAAAAGCTCAGATATTTTGCCAGCAGATAATACTATTTGAAAACACCTCTAAATTAGCTGTTAATACTGAAAGCTGGTTCTAAGCCTACAGTCCAGAATAAACATATAGAAACAAAAAATACTCCCTTCTAAAAAAATCTTAATCCGGGTCTTCAGCTAATAAGAGCTGTATCTCCCTGCCTCTCAAACACAGCAACCAGAATTCAAATACTTCAACTTTTACAAATCTTTATCTCCTATTCCACGTTATCATAGCAAAGTGTATAATTATATACTTGGCAGATTTTAACCTACTTTGATCCTGGAATCTTTCATTTATGTGAGCCCTGCTGTGCTGCTCTTGGCTTAGCTGCTGTTCATGTAAATCTACAGGGGTTGGGTTAATACCAGTTCCTTCAAGATACAGTCGGATTCTTTGCCGCCACTGCCACCTTAGAGAGGAGAAAGGAGTTGGTATCAGTAGCTGAAATATTCATTACAGAATTAGACAGGATCAGAGAATCTTCACTCTCAAAGCAGAACATCTCAAGATTAAAACTAAAATATAGTCAGTCATATTTCAAGTTTTATAGCTTCTACTATCACTTCTAAATCTAGAAAGTTAATCATACTAAAATGTAAATACTTTACACTTACCAATTTGCTATCTAATGTTTCTTATATGTGTAAAATAAGAGGGCACTCGTCAAAAGTAGTCTACAAACACATAGATAACAACACATCTTTTTAGGCATGTGATCCTAACTTACAAATTCATGACCAATGCAGTGATTTTGGGAACAACAACCTCTCAGAAATTTATATAGCAACACATGCTGTATTTTTACCATCTTTTGTTTGTATTTGCAGAAATACAAAAAGCATCTCTATCCACCCCCTTATACATAAGAGCCAAAGGTATCCTCCCGTTTTAAGAATCTCTCCTGGCCTAGGAACTTTGGGATGCCTAAAGAGGAATTCAAATGAAGAAAAAAGGACATTAAAGGCATTCCTCTAAACTGTTTCCAGTCCCTGGCACCTCACCATCCTAACACAACTTTGACCCACTTGCTCCTCCACATAGGCTGATCCAGTTACCCACCTATTTTAAAGTTTCCTTAAGGCCAAATATATCTGACTGAAAGTGAAAAACCCACTCAGGTCCCTGCTTAGGAATATCAGTTCCTATTATTCCGTAAAAATAACCAGGGATATAATTTCTGTTTCACTCTGGCGAGGCTTTAGCTCTGTAATTTAGCTCTGAGGTCCTCAACACAATAAAGGCATGGGCCTGTTGGAGCTGGTCCGAAGGAGTGCCACAAAAATGATCAGAGGGATGGAGAACACTGGTCCTATGAAGAAAGGCTGAGAGATTTGGGATTATTCAGCCTGCAGAAGAGAAGGCTCTGGGGAGAACTTACTGCAGCCTTTCAATACTTAAAGTGGGCCTACAAAAAAAGATGGGGACAAACTTTCTAGCTGGGCCTGCAGCACTAGGAAAAGGGGTGATGGTTTTAAACTGAAAGAGGGGAGATTCAGATTAGATATAAGGAAGAAATCTTTTAGAATGACAGTGGTGAAACACTGGAACAAGTTGCCCACAGAGCTGGTAGATGCCCCATCCATGGAAACACTCAAGGTCAGACTGGACGGGGCTCTGAGCAACCTGATCTAGTTGAAGATGTCCCTGCTCACTGCAGGGGGTTGGACTAGATGGCCTTGAAAGGTGCTTTCCAACACAAATAATTCTATGATTCTAAGATAACGAGCATTATTATTGCTCATTATCAAGAATAGAAGTGTTGTCAACAAAAATAGAACATAGCATCCAACAAAACATTACAAGTGCCTCGATTATCCAGGGAGGTTACCTGCATTAGCACTACCAGCTTTACCTAAGCAATTTAGCATGATGGAGAGTTAAAGGCTTTTGTTTTCTAATTCTTAGAATATGTGAGTTGGAAGTACCTTTTCATTTAGCAATACCTATTGAAAACCCTTCAGTTGTTTATAATCAATCCTGATTTCTTTATTAACGTAATTTGAGAATTTTCTTACAGCACAAATGCAGTTACACTTCAGGCTACGAATTAAATATGCTAGAAGTATAAACAAAACCAAACTGCAATATATTTTTATGTCAAGAACTTTTTTATCTTTGATGGTTTGCCATTACAGAAGTATTCTGGAATATGAATACACCACAGAACAATGTTTCTTCCTTAGTCTGTCCTTTAAATTTCAGCTTGCTTACTTTTTAATTCAAGTGTGCTTATTCTATTTTTAAGACTATCTAGTATTGAAAACATCAAGCTATCTTCAGCATGAAGAAAAGCTTTGCCTTACACTAACCTATTAACAGAATTTAAGCCACTCTACCCTAATCACAAAAACCCCAGATGCAATACACTAACCATTTCCTAATTTTATAGGCTTCATTAGCTTCTGCTATTATGGCCCTTCACTGTTCTACATATGCTTTTGAGTGTCAAAATATGTAAACCAATATATCCTTTACAAGAATGCAGTTCCTTATTTAAGAATTTACTAAGTCAGAAAAGAAAATCAATTACTGAAAGTTGTAACAAAAGCCTTTTTGCTCGAACTGGCAGTCAATTTTATCCTTTGTATTCCCATCTTACTCTTGACTACAAATCCATTTTTCAACATGGTAAACATCTCCACAGAATTCACAATTTGAGGCATCAAGATTTTACTAAGCATTGTCTGCTTCTTAGGAATTGCACATCATTAAGTATTTTCCAGTCATAATACATTTTGGAAAACCAAAGATCAGTGAATCCTACCTGAACTCACCACGATAAAGCTTCTGTAGTGCTTCAGGAAACGAATGTGTATATCTCACAGGCAAGCATAAGTGACCCTCTGACCTGGTAGCAAAAAAGGACAATGCAAATGACAGTATTAACTATTAAGATCTGGTACTTCCAAAAACCAAACCAAAACACACACCTCATTCTGTTACATAAAGCAAAACTACACTTTGACCTTCATGAACCTATACTACTCTTACATAACAGCACATCAACAACAACACACCTCTTTCAGCTCCTGGGAAGAGTGTGTGAGATACAGGGTATTTCTCCAACATTTGCCTTAAAAACTGTTCAGCTAGTAATCCTGCAGGAATATGTAGGTACTAATATAGTTCCTGTTACCATAGTTCTAGGTAAGGAATTCAAGCTTAATAAACCTTGCAAATTAGAAATAAAATTTCCTCCATTTATACACCAGTTAGTGATACGAGACAGGTAAGCAACATGCCAAAGATCAAAAGAATCTCATGTCAAAGCCAGAGGACTAAACACTGCTCCCCTTTCATGAGTGATATCTGATAACTTGAAGGCACTTGTTATTTGAACCGTGCTATTCAGGCTTGATACTGTAGAATGTCTAATCACAGCGTCTGAAAAGTTTTGGAAGAGGAGTAAGGTATGGAAGGAATTAAAACTTTTGGCCACTGCTTTTTTATCTACTAAGATTAAATTAATTCGTAATATCAAAAGCAGAAACCTAAATCTAGAAATCTCAGCAGGCAGAGCCCTGGTGAATTCTGAGTTTTACTTGCCATCTATTTGAAAGTTATACCAACCAGGCAGTACTAATACACTGCATCCACCTGCCCAAATCAATCTTATGTCTAGGTGGATGCAACTTGTGTAGAGTTTATAATAGGACAACTAAATGCCATTAACTGGCTGAGGAGACTGCGTCCTCTGAGGTATGACAGGGTTTACATGAAGAAACCAGAACAAACCTCTTCATCTCAGGCCCTACCGGATTTCCAATAGGATTTGCCTTCTTCATAAAACTACATTTCTGTGCATTCAAGCACAACACTGGTAGTCACTTTTGCTAAGTCCCTTTTCCTGTCTCTGTTCTATACTGCTATCTCTAGCCTCAAACTTCTGGTTAGTAATACAAGTAAACTAGCTCCAAGTGCTGTTACGCTGGTGCATGCTTATCCAATACTACTTAATGTCCTTTCAGATCAGACAGGATAACTCATTGTGGCAACTTTTCCAATAAAACAACAGATTTACCTGATAGCTACAATCCTCTAAAAGGAGACACACTGCCAAATGCCAGAGGAATGCCTCATGCATCACAAAAACAGATGCATATTGTACCTGATATTAAATAAAGCATTGTTTTTCCAAATGTGTTTTTACCTTTCAGGATCAGTATTTACTCCAATAACTGGTTTAAATTTATCAAAGACCTTACTGGCTGCCAACAACATTGTACCATCGCCTACAGAAAAAGCAAAATAAAAGTTAGTTTCACATCACACGCTAGTATCCCAAACAAAATAGCTTCACAAGTACTGCAGCATTACCACTATGTGCTTTTGGATCAACAATTGATCAGGTAAGCTGCACAAAAATAAAATGAGACAACAAAACTACTGACATCTTTCAAAGCAGAGTAGTGACACCCGAATCCAAGATGACAAATATGACTGGAAAAAGTACTACTTATCAGACAGCTATACATGCCCAGGCAACTAAATTTGGCAGAAGCAAGTCCAAAAAGACATTTATGGAAATTTCTGTGTGTTTATCAGCTGGTAAGATAAATTCTTTAAGGAAACAAATTTAGAAAGTCTTGCTAACCAAAGCCACAGGAGACAGGAAACAATACTAAATTTTACTGTGAAATCACATGAAAACAATTATTCTAGTTCCACCTCAGTTGTCCTCCTAGAAAGCACAATTTAAAGGTTTTATTTGGCCTGCAATAGGCATGCTTGGAAAAGAAGTCTTAGATAAAACTGTTGGAAGTCTTTAAGTCTCACCGTCTTCTTTAGATATTGACATTCTCTCCTGTCTGTTAAACAGAAGGACAACTGCAACCTGAATCAGTCTTTGCACCAAGATATAAGCTCTGACAACCTCAGATGATGCATAAGTTTCCAGCTGTTTGCCTCATAACGGTGACAGATGTTGCCACAGCCAAACTGGCACTTTCATCTCCAGTTTAAGAGGAGAGAAAAGCAGAGCAGTGGTCAAGTCGAACTGCCACAGATGATTGAACATTATGTCAGAGCCCAGCAACACACTGCAGTATTTGCAACAAATAACACTGAATGAACTGCTGCAATCCAATGTTAAAAAGAAACAGCCAGGTTAGCTGCTCTGTTGGTTCATTTAAAAAGATCCATGTAGTGGCACAGGCAGCTTGGAACTTGCATACTCTTATCTGTATCATCCAACTAGATATTCCAGTCACCAGAATTAAGTGAAGAAAGCAAGGAAGGCACTTTGAGCAAGGGCAGAAAAAGGTACTATGTTAATCTCCACCTCACATACCAAAAGCCAAAGAGTAGGGTTTAGGGCTCTGTACAATCACATGACAGCAAGCATTTTGGCCTCTTCAGTTGAAAATTATAGTAATTTCCAAATTTACACTGTTTCAGACAAGAGAGTATCAAACATTTTCAAAGTGGCCATGCACTGGGATTCACTCCCTAGTGCTACAATTTCAGATAATGGAGGTAGAGAGGATGGTCACAATCGCTGTGTTTTGTTTTCTGACAAGTAGATAAGCAATTTGTTTTCAAAACATACATACTTCCAGATGCTTCACAAACTGCAAAATATTTTTGAAAAACATATCTATGAAAAGATACTGAAACAAATACTTCCCTTCCATAAAGTCGTACCTCCTGCTGATATGACAGCATCTGCCCACCGAACTGTCTCTTCATTATATTCTCGACGTTTAACAAGACGAACTTCTATCTTCTCGTTCCTAAAAGGGCAGAAAAAGCATTGGCTGAGAAGGCCAACAGCATCCTGTCTTGTACCAGAAATAGTGTGGCCAGCAGGACTAAGGAAGTAATTGTGCTCCTGTACTGGGCACTGGTGAGGCTGCACCTCAAGTGCTGTGTCCCGTTTTGGGCCCCTCCCTACAAGAAAGACATGGAGGTGCTGGAATGTGTCCTGAGAAGGGCAACGAAGCTGGTGAAGGGTCTGGAGCACAAGTCCTCTCCACGAGGAGTGGCTGAGGGAGCTGGGGTTGTTTAAGCTGGAGAAAAAGAGTCTGAGGGGAGACCTTATCGCTCTCTACAACTACCTGAAGGGAGGCTGTAGTGAGGCAGGGGTCAGTCTCTTCTCCCAGGAAAGAAGCGATAGGACGAGAGGAAATGGCCTCAAGTTGTGGCAAGGGGAGGATTAGATTGGATATTAGGAAAAACTTCTTCACCGAAAGAGTTGTCAAGCATTGGAACAGGCTGCCCAGGGAGGTAGTGGAGTCACCATCCCTGACGGTGCTTAAAAGACGGGTAGACAAGGTGCTCAGGGACATGTTTTAGAAGTGGAGTTGGTAGTGTTAGCTTTATGGTTGGACTCAAGTATCTTAAAGGTCTTTTCCAACCACTATGATTCTATGATTCTATATTGTTCCTTGTCACATCCTTCTGAAAAACTGACATGTAATTAAGGACTAATTTGAGTGGTATTTGGCTTATATGCATTTTACACTCTCACAAATCCTTTACATCTTTTTAATTTGTTTTCAAGATAATAACACAGTGTGTTACATAACTGAACTGAGCTAGTTCACATTACGATTGTTTCAGGAATGACTGCTCATCTGCATTATCCTGTTTTCAGAATTCCTAGCTCATTAGAGCTTATAACACAAAGCTTCCTTTCGTTGTTTTACACAGTCCATGGATATCTGCACTCTGTCTGAAATTCTCAGCATCCATACATTCTTACCGTAAACTGTCTACAACATGCTCCACGTTTTTTGTATGAATGCGATGCCGTTCCAGCAGACCAGCATAGTTAGATCCCTTCAAGGCAAGCTGAAAGACATAAATTGATTTTGTAGAAGTTAATCACTACAGTAAGTGCTCTTGACTAATACAAATTAGAAGCTATAAATAAGCATGCATTTTATCTCAGTAGAGACACGTGCTTGTATAAGTACTCCATTAGTTACATCTCTATATACACACCAGTCAGCTTACATTGACTAGTTCATTGAATGAGTCACATGGCCACAGCAGCCAAGAACCACAGACCTTCTGAGGGCTCTACACAAATATACAAAAAAGTGTGATACACAGACTTCTATGCCTCTTCAGACACTTTGCTTTCCCTGAATCTGATAAGTAACTGAAGCTCTGTGTAAATCTACATAAAATAGTTATACGAACTATACTCCTATCACGTACTAAAAGCACTCAGACAAACAGTTCGCTAATTACTTGAAAAGTTATAAACATTGTGCTATAGCGAAAGAGGGTAACAGAAAAAGCAACAGGAATTATAATTAAGAAAATGCAAATCTTTGAAATACCTAGAGCATTAACCTTCAAAATGTATTTCAGCTAAAATGGAAGGCTGCCAAGTGGTGACAAAGGTGACATTTCCCCTGAGTCAAAAAAAGCTTAAGGACAATCCACCTACTACCTTTGATACTGTCCCCTGGATTACAGATCAGATTTTTCACACAAATTCATATCAATAACAAGACAAACAGTATTTAGCAGTTGCATTCTAGCATCATTCTTCTTGGAAGCTGGAGAATTTAAATAATCTTGACACACTCTTTAGACCATGGAAATATTTTGCAGTTCATACAGACAGACTCTCATGAGCAGGCAGGTGAGACTGCTGGTTGAGGATTAGGGTTTTTTGCAACAAGTTTCTGTGCGAGTAATCCAGTAACGATCTGTGCACATTAATTCTTCACCTCACTTACAGTGCTCACCTGGCCCTGGTACTGCCGAGTACGTGGTTGCACACTTGCAATCCCCACTTGCATGGAGATTGAGCAAGTAGAAGAAAGAGGGTGAAAAGGATGTTAAGCAAAGAGTTTATAAATACATTCATAATGAAAGCGACCCCACTCTGAGCAGCAGCCTAGACTGGATGACCTCCCGAAGCTCCTTCTAGCCCGACTTATTTTACAATTACTGTCATTGCTTCCTTTTCACCGACCAGTTAAAATCATTCACCAGCATAAAAACAGAACTACTCCTAGCATTTGTGTATAGAAATTAATCTGTGCCAGAGCTCAGAACAAGCACTTCCAGCAATTTATTCAAGTGCCTTTACTCAAAGTTGCGCACCCTTCCAAGACCAAGTAGTGCCAAACAGCCAAATCTAATCCTATTTCCATAAAGACTCCCACACCACAGAACTCCACAGCAAAGGGGAGAGGACTGGCAGGATATGACAATTACAGTGAACTGCAATTCAACACCCAACAAATTGCAATCCTTCTTCATCCAACACTGTGTGCTCTCAAGAAACCCAACCATAAGCTAAGCACAAAGACAGACAGGGCACTGAAGAAACTGCAGAAAAGAATGGAATTGGCCGGTCTGGAACTGCAATGCTGTTCTGCTCACTGTGTTTACAATCAGTGAACAACTTGCAGGAATGAAATCTTTAGATGGTCTTATAGCTGGGATCAGGAAACCACCTCTGACAGACAGGCTCCTAGACTTTGCCTGGATGCCACCAACAGCACTACAGGCAGACAGCAGGAGCAGCTGCTAGCTGTGCTTGGTCACACACACAGGCAAGCATGTGGGTGATCAGAAAACAACCAAGGCTTTCAGGTCATCTTTACAGAGCCTGTTAGTACTGCTTTACTGGGGTATGGGGTGTTATGTCCCATTAATTGCCTCATGCATTTAAACCCCTTGTTTCTACTCCCCAGCTACCACGCTTGCACGCTCCCGTACACCTCTTTCTTCTCCAGAGACCATGGCGTTGCACTGGCAACATAAATGGTGCCACTGTGCTGCTGTGGGGAGGGAAGAGCACGCGAGGCTATGGCCACTTACAGCACTGCCCAGTGCTGGGTCTGCTGGCAGCCTCTCAAGATCCACTTGGAGAAGTCGAAATGGGAAAAGAAGACGATACTCACTTCCCACAGACAACATCTCCAACTGAGCACCACAGGTCTATTTTGCTAGAAGAGGGATTTTCTGTTGCACATCTGAAGCACAAATTGACCTCGCTTTACCACCAGAAAGAACAAGAAATCCACAGCAAATAATCTCAAAAAATAAACTGTGTTACTAAAGTCAGGGTTCCCATTCATGTCTCCTCTAGAAATATCTACTGTGAATGAAAGTCGAGCACCTGACAAGCAGACTGCTGCTGCAGTATACGTTTTTCAGGCTGCTATGTCCACAGGCTATTGCTTTCACACACAACAGACACCACAAACTCCATCTTGTAGTTTTATGTACTACATTTATTTGGCAAATTTGTCAGCATACTATCTTTCAACTTAGTCAAAGACAGCTTTTATCTCAGAACAGTGACAGTGTAATAAATCTCTGTACAATCATTTGCAGGCTTTTGAATCACCAGCATCAGTGGTGAGCCTACAGCTAACATTTCATTGGCATTACTAGCAAGGAGAGGCACGGATACTGTCATTGCTGTGGAACAGTCTGTTCTGCAACTTACATTTGCCTCAGGGGTGTTAGATTATTTCACCAACAGCTTCACAAAGCAGAAGAGGATGCTCAGCAAATAAGCTGACAGTATCCTGACAACTGGCTGAACAATTTCCGTGGATGCTTCCACTCTTACTAAAAGCAGCACCGCAGAACAGGTATCTAATGGGTAGAGGTGTCTTCTTTAAATTTACCTCTAGAACAAGTAAGCAAGTATCACTAAGCAACAAGATAAATGAAAAGTTAAGGCCTTGGGTTTAAATTGCTAAGCCACATCTACGGAGTTAATGAATCGTCCTAATTTGCAAAAGGCTCCAGAGATTAAAACAGTCTGCTCATCTCTAACATCATCCCTCTAGCTCAGAGGTAAATAACTCACAAGTTCATTCATCTAAGAACTCACTAAGGGACAGCCTGCCTGAGCGTAATCACAGTCAAGTATACCAAACAGGAATGCTAATCATCAGTTGCTTTTCATGTAACTGCTTCAAAGAACCAGAGAAGTGCCTACAGCCCTTGTGGTCAGAGGCCACAGAATCACATAGTGGTTGAGGTGGGACGGGACCTCTGGAGGTCATCTGGTCCAACCCTCCAGCTCAAGCAGGGCGACCTGGAGCCTCTTGCCCTGGATCGTGTCCACATGGTTTTCAATCTTCACAGATGGAGCCTCTACCACCTCTCTGGGCATCCTGTCCCTGTGCTCAGTCACACTGAGTGAAAAAGTGTCTCCCAATGTTCAGACAGACCCTCCTGTGTTTCAGTTTGTGCTCACTACCACTGGTCCTCCCTCATACCCAGGACCTGAATGCCATCCTAAAACTATGACAAAATGCTCATTCTTAAAAGAGCTCTGCACCAAGGATAAAGTGTCAGCCAAAGAACGTCAAGAAGCCTGCCAGTACAGTACAAGGAGTATACTGCAAAAGACAGAACACTTCAACTTAGCTATATTCTTCCAAAAATTGACAGACTGCAGACCTGACTTTCTAGACATGGGCTAGAAAATAAAACCACTATTCCTACAGAGCTCAGGATCTTCTAATGGAGTACGCTTGGCATTTTTTGGTGTTGAAGTTGTAAAAGCCTAAGTGAGGGGCCACACACAGGTCTGGATCCCTGCACTGCAGGTTAAGTAATTTCTTCCAGTGGTTAACTGGCAAGATCAGTAAGAGCAAAGCAAACTGAAAAGTACTGATGAGTAGAAGTTATCAGCTATAGGTCTGTAAACACACAGGAAACACAGTGTTTGCCAAGTCCCACTTGCTGAGGCTCCTGGAACAAGAAAAGAAGGAAGAATATAGCTAAGTTGAAGTGTTCTGTGCTTGGTATAACTACTTTTTTCTTCAGGTAGACTTGATACTGGGATCAAATTGCTACAACATACAGCTTAAAATACCAAATAAACTCGACATGGGTCTGTCACAATAGTACTGTTTTTCATACTTTAGCTAAGAATGTTAGTATTTGGTATAGAGATATCTGCTCTGTAAGACTGTCAACTCGCTCTTGGATATTGAAAGTGGAGAGTAGCCTGTCAAACCCTTTCCTTTTGGAAGGTTGACTGTGACAATTGTAAATCAGAGCTTCCTCCAAAGGAAGGATAAAATGTATAGGAAATGATGCATCAGAGGACAAGGTTAGTTAGCTATGGGTGGCATTAGTGGAAGTACTCAAAAGCAGAAGTATTCAGGGAAGATGGGAAGAAACAAAAAGTACATCTGTAGGCCTATTACTCTGACCTCAACAGCACGCAAGACTGTAAAATAAAATCATTTTATTAATTAGTGTGTTAATATACACAAGAGCTATTCTAGCTACAAGTGCATTACCATATGAAAATAGGGACAAACTGGCCAAAAATACATTCAAGCATCGCTTCAGTAGTGTTCTTAAACCTCACAGCAGACATGGAATGAATGCAAAGCAGGCTTCCAAAAGAGCCTGCATTGGTAAACAGTCAGGTGAGCAGAACATGCTTGATAATGGAGTTATCTTTCCTTAGGAGCTTGAAGGAGAAAAGGTCTAGACCAACTGTCTAAAAAAAGCTCTTCTCATATATTCTGGCCTGACCTTTTTTTTTAATTAAAGGATAATTTTTCAGAGAGCCCCTTTAAGTCATTTAGGAAAGAAACATTTGCTTGACTGCCTTCCTTCTCGAGTCTGAGCTCTCACCTCTGGCAAGTCTCACCCCACTCAGTCTGAAGTGCGGGTCTGCTGTCCTTGAGTAATGCTGGCCCTCCAGGAACAACGCTGTGCAATGAGGACAAGGCTTGTAGCCACAAATACAAAAGCAACACAAAGCCAAGCAACACCCGAATACCCACTGTCGTCTACATATACGGATTACAGTCCTTGATTTAGAGAATGGGGAAACAAAAAGCCACAGACAAATCTTACTGACCCTGCTAACCTAACCACTAGGATACAATAGTATGCTCTCTCAAAACAGTAATGTGAACGTTGTCCCGAGTGAAATCGTGAATCCAGCACCTTCTACATCTACTCTTAGTACGCTAACGGGAACTTTTCAGATCCATTTTGGCTATATATGAATATACATACATAAAATATATATTCATATTCTCATTACTAGGCTTATGCTGAGTTTATAGCACTAATGTTCATGTTACCTTAAACTGCCACTGCATCAGGGTGGAGTTAATGCCTCGGTGTACCAATCAGTTGTTTTACCATTGTTGCTCATTCAGGAGGAATTAAAACAATTGCTGTCTCAAATTTCCATAATGAACTTGACCACACATGCACCCCAGCAGGAGAATGAGAACAGATCATTGCTTTCCAATCTACATAGTTTAGCAATACCTAACACAGAAGTTTGAATTTTGACCTGAAAAGGAAAATACTATTGATTATAGGTATAACCCTCTAACCATTTCTAAGTAGAGAACAGCACTACTAAAAGTCCTGTATTTTCAGAAATTGTCTCTCCAGGTAACCACATCTCCCAAGTACAAAGCTAGTGCTCCCAGTTTTACTCTCAGTTTTAAAAGAAACACATGTTAAGTTTTGAACTAGAAATAGCTTTGAATATAGCACACACTTCGAATAATACACTCCTCCTAGCTCCCCTGACAAATAGGGGACACTGACTTAAAGCTTGCTTAAGTACCAGATGAAACACTGGCAATCTATAGTTGCATACAAGTAATTTTACTACGTTCCAGTGTTAACGACTAGTTAAATCTTTATTTGTCATGCTAAAAACGAATCCAGCTTTCCTCACAGGCCAGGCAGACACCGAATTTTCTGATTTCTTAAGAGCTCAAATCACATATTATGCTTTCCTATTTCATAATGTAAAAATAAACCTCACACAAATAAGTGAGATTAAAGCATGATTCAGCTTCTGAATCTTAGAAAATAAAGTACAGAAGACAAAAGAGATAATAAACTGAGCAGTTAGCTATGGCAGAATCTGCCTCGTAGAAGAGCAGGCAATGTGCACTCCCAGCCCAGAAGGCCAATAACCGTATCCTGGGCTGCATCAAGAGAAGCGTGGGCAGCAGATTGAGGGAGGGGATTCTGCTCCTCTATTCCGCTCTTGTGAGGCCCACCTGGAGTGCTGTGTCCAGTTCTGGAGCCCCCAACACAAGAAAGACAGGGACCTGTTAGAACAAGTCCAGAGGAGGGCCACCAGGATGATCCGAGGGCTGGAGCACCTCTGCTGTGAGGACAGGCTGAGAGAGTTGAGACTGTTCAGCCTGGAGAAGAGAAGGCTCCAGGGAGATCTTATAGCGGCCTTCCAATACCTGAAGGGGCTACAGGAAGCTGGGCAGGGACTTTTTACAAGGGTAACTAGTGATAGAACAAGGGGAAATGGGTTTAAACTGAAAGAGGGTAGGTTTAGATTTGATATTAGGAATAAATTCTTCACTGTGAGGGTGGTGAGACACTGGGACAAGTTGCCCAGAGAAGCTGTGGATGCTCCTCCCTGGAAGTGTTCAAGGCCAGGTTGGATGAGGCTTTGAGCAACCTGGTCTAGTGGAAGGTGTCCCTGCTGATGGCAGGGGGGTTGGAACTGGATGATCTTCAAGGTCCTTTCCAATCTGTACCATTCTATGAAATGTGCACCTTGGAGACACATTTCAAGTGCTAGAAAAAGGGTCTGCTAGAAGCACTGAGGAAGGGTAGATTTAGACGAGATATGAGGAC